CGTGTACGGTTAGAGCCAAAAGCTTTTTTCCTTTCACACTTCCAGCGAATCCATGAATTCTCTTCTTTCACCAAAAAATTAATTCCTTCTGTCTTCCAATTCAACTGCATACAGCATCACCACTCCATCGGGTATATATATATATATATATATATACACACACACACGCACATACTTTTTCATATATATTATGTACATATATGATAGTATATTAGTTTTGAGGTAATAGAATGATTAATATTCAAGATGAATTAAGGTGCATGGTTTGACTGCACGTAGTGCTCATGCAGATAAGTTATTTTAGAAAGAGTGGCTATGAAAGAAAACTATGGTGTTATGTGGATATGAAGGAATAATATTGAGTTATTGAAAGTGGTAGAGCTAGCTTTATTAGCCTAGCTAGGAGCCATGCACGCCCTCAAATTGAATGGTTAAGAATAAACACCTAGTTCTCCCTAGTAAAACCACTTGGAATAATAGTCATATTAATATTCCTTCCTTTACAAAATACTAATAAGCCAATATGCCATAATAACACTGAAAATTTAACCTAAAATTTCCTACTTAATATTAAAATCCATACTAACTAGCTTAAAACATATGAACTTGATAACATATGATGTAAAATGAAGGTCTTTATTGTTATAATTTAGAAGCATAAGAGTTCTTTCCCATGCATTTCACTCCATATTCCCATCTTTTTCTTTCTCTTCCTTTTTATTTTAAGGCTTACTGTGAGCCTCTCTTTGTGATCTTTTTGATTCATCAACGAAAGCAACAATTAAGAGAGACGGAAACATCTCATTATTCCCTTCTTCCTTTACTTCAACTCATGTCATGACACAGGACAGAAATGAAGACTCAATATGGATTCCGCATATATAACACATTATTTTTCCAAAATTGTAGAATTAACCATGAAACAAATTACTTTTAAATTACTTTGCTTTTGCTTCATAAATTAAATAAGTTGAATTAGAAATTAATTTTCAGTTTGTTAAATAAATAAATATCACTTATGTATAAGCTTTGATTAATTTTATTTATGAATTATATATATAATATAGTCATTAGGGATATTTGGCCAATATACTGATGGACTTATATAATTTATAGGATATCATATATTTTTAATTATAGTAAATATAGTTAAATTTGATGTTATTAGTCTTTGAATTTCTCTTTTTCCAATTTTGGTTTTCATAATCTTTAAAACCTTTCGGAATAGAGTTCGTCGTTATATTTAATGTATATATAATTTTAAAATATAAATATTTATTTATGAAATATAAATTACAGGAGAAAATAAATGCGAGATAAAGTTTCAAGAAGAGAGAAAAGTAAAGAGAATGTACAATTAAGAGATATTATTTTATATTTGAAAGAAAACAAGTTAAAGAAAACGAAATATTAAAAGTATAGGAAAGAAAATATAATATAAATATAGATTATATTTTTTTCTCTCCTAAGATAACAAAAGAAGGGTTACATAAGAAATCTCTTTATATAATTATAGATTATAGACTAATCGAAATACAACGTATTGCATGTATTGCGTTTTTATTATATTTTTTATTTTAATTTATTAAAATTTAATAAACATATACACATATATATATATATATATATATATATATATATATATATATTAATTTTAAAATATAAATATTTGTTTCTAAAATTATGAATTGTTAATGTAGTAAAGAGATAAATTAAAAAATAACTGTGCAATTGAGAGAATACGAGAGAAATGGTATATAAAAGAAACAAAGGAAAAAATATAAATTATATATTTTTCCCTCCGATAGTTAAAAAAAACTCTTTGATATATTGATATAAATCATACATAACAGACCATGGAGTTACACATCTCGATCATACCACATATCAATTTAAAATGGTTACTGTAATATGATTAGATTTATGTCACAACATTATTAAGGAATAGTGAATATCTTTTTTTCAAAAAGTTTTAAAATCAATGACTAGTAAAAATAAAATTATTAAAAATATTAAAAATAAAATAAATTAAAATTTTATCTATATTATAAAGAATAAAATATAAATCTTAACTTTATACCTGAGTTTTTATTTGTTATTTGTGTGAAACCAACCAGATTAAACGTAGTTGGCAAATAATTAGAATTATTTTTTTAAGAATGTTAGCCTTTAAATATTCGTAGAAAAAATAAAAAATTATTATTTTGAAGCAAGAAATTACGACATTTAAAGGACATTTTCATGTGTAATAATTGTAATTTTCAGTTTATTTTTAAATACTTTTTTTAAGAGTGAGATTTTCTGATCATAAATTAACATGAATAAACTTTTTTTTCTTTGAAATCTCTAAACAATAACCACTAAATTATTTTCTACTATAATCACTTTTTTTAAATTAATCTGAAATAAATTGGCAAGAATACTTTTTCCTTAATTTTTAAACAAAATAAGTAATTTTAGTTTTAATAATTAAAAATAAATAAATTATTGTCTTAATGACATAAAATTCTACAATTATTATCATTATCATTAGTTGTTTATTTTGATAAACATAAATTCTATTTATCCCTCCAACTACTCAATAATTATTTCCACCTGTTTTCTATTATAATCATGGTCTACGTTATTAATGCTGTTACTTATGATTGCTCTTACTTTCTCTATAGCACATCAATTATTTATAAGTTAACATTATTATTATTATTATTATTATTATTATTATTATTATTATTATTATTATTTTATTATGCTAAATTATTAAGAATATCCTTTATCCTTTTGGCTTTGATTATTAATTTTTAAAAATATTTATTTTAGTTTTTTATTTTTTAAACATAGCCAATTAATTATTTTCTTGATAGAAGTCAAAATTAACGTTAGCAGTAAGTGTATGTGTATTCGATGTGTCCTTTAAGCATATATGTTGTAATGTGATTTGGTTTGACCCAATTACAATAACATTATTATTTTATTCTGTATTTTTTTTTTTTAACTTTGAACTAAAGAAATAATTGAGAATTTAAGGTTCAATTAGTTCCTCATTTTTCTCCCAATTTCAGAATCTAGGTTCCACATTCATCCTTCATTTCAGTTTGACCTGACATGAATTCAACTGTGTCTTCTTGCATGTGTGTAGGGCTAGTTGTTGAACTGAAGATTCTCAACATTCCTCCATGAACGACGCTAACAATTGGGTGCTTTTATGCTATTATGGAGACTCTCAACATTGCAGGAACGACCAACAACCTTAGAAGGTAATTCTAGGGTTGCATACACTTCCTGTTACCAAAGCTTAAGTTTATGTGTTGATTGTGTAACATTTCTCAATGTAATGGGAGGCGAAGATAGTAGTGTAACTATTTTTCATTGACATCATGAATAGACAAATTATGATTTTAAGATTCATTAACACACCCTGCAAAAGGTTTGAAATTGTCATATTAGATTTTGCTTTTTTTAAAAGAAAAACAAAACAATAAATGTGATTTTTATGTTTGTAATTTTTTATTTGATATTTTCATAAGTTTCGTATAATTCAATAAAGAATAATTTATATAGATTTTTTTTATGAAGATACTTTTTAAAGATAAATAGTGACGAAAAGACGGGTAATATATCCGATATTAAGTTGGATTTAAATGTAGAAATGATGTATTGATTTTGACACCTATGTATTGGGATATACATGAGGGATCATAACAAAGATTAAATTTTATATTATTAAAAATATAAAGGATCGTTTTGAATATGATAAGAAAACCTTGATAAATGCAAAAAATGTCATTTTGTGTTGATTGACCAATTATGATCGTTTTGAATATGATAAGAAAACCTTGATAAATGCAAAAAATGTCATTTTGTGTTGATTGACCAATTATAACACCTCGTTCGTCAAAACTTGCTGTCAACAGGCGTTACATCTATGATGAAAATGATGAATTTAATCGTTAAAAAATCTGAAATAAATATTTTAAAAATGAGAGCGTAAACTAAACTAAGAAATACGCCCCTTTATTGTATAATTAAAATATTGTAGTAATAAATGAAGTATCTTCAGGACTGTCGTTATCACATGTATTGTTACTACCATGATTATTAGTTTCATCACCACCAACATTTTCAAGCACTGTCCTTAACACTGTTTTGATTGCTACAAGTCCACCAACATTGTCAGCATCGCCTCCTCTCTCTTGTCCCCTTGCTTCTTTTGCCCCCAATCCCAGCTTCTCCCCCTCCACCAAAACGTTTCAAGCAAACAGTAAAAAGTAATTTCATTTAAAATAAAATATTAAAACTTAAGGAATGAGATTTTGACAGAAACTTATCCCACCATGTTTTGATAATGATGGCTCATATGTAATTGAAACAGTCTTTCCTTCCATATATTGTGACAATAGAGTTAAAGCCAAGAAAGTTCAAAGTTCATTAACTAAAAGTAGGAGCAGTTAATTTTCTCCCACATGATCAAGTATCATAACAGGTAGGCATTAGCTATATAGTAAGCTAGCCAACCTTTTATAAAAACACTAAAAAGCAAGACTATATGTTTTTTTTATACAGACTTCCTCTTTGATACAAGGTAAAGAGGACACTCAAGAAAAAGAAGGGGTGTCCCTGACTTAAAACATTGTATAAGAGCTCCTTCGTTTATCTTACGGGGCTTCTTAATCAGTCTTATTGAAGAGTTGAGACTAAAACCATATGGCCTTTGCAGCCATGAGCATTTGTTTGAGAGAGCCATCAACATGGAGGGATATCACATCCTTTGATGACCCTACAAATTTTCCACCTATGAACACTGCTGGCACTGAAGGGTTACATCCCATGCTCCTCAAAGCCCACTCCATTTCCCTCCCATAGGCATCCTTGTCGAGCTCATGCACCGCAGGGCTTGCTCCAAGCTCATAGAACAGTTGTGTGATGCTGTGGCACATGTAACAAGAACTCTTGGTGAATATAACTGCTGCCTTCTTGGATGCCAAGTCTCTTACTCTATCCATTACTCCAACGAAGTGATTCCCTCAGTGAAAGAAATATGAGAGAAGGGTAATTGAAAAAGACTTGTTAAGAGGCTTTGCTAATTGTTTACCCTGGTGGACTTTGAGATTACATCGTCTCTTATTTATAGTGGTTGGTAATGATAGTGGACTAGTGTATTAGAAATAAAGTAATTATTATTATTATTTTTTTTTATCGGAAAGTAAAAGGAAGAAAGTTCCTTCGGATATTTGTTTGGATAAGAGAAAATGCTCCCTGATCATTTGATCGATGGGGACTCTGACATGGAACAAGTTGCATTTAGCATCACACTGTGCATGCAAGTGATAATTTAAATCACTCGGGGTTCCCGTACGAGCAATCAGTGCAGGAATAAGAACAATGTGTATAATTTATCAGACTGAAAAACTCTTTCGGCCCTGGTTCACAGCATCAACTGGATTATTCTAATGTTAATTTATGCAAACTTCTCTGAGGCAGATGGCACAAAACAATGTTGCGTTGTCAACACAATCAACCGAAAGAGTGGAATCCTTTTTCTATATCCGATTACAAACAGTATTATATTAATGCTACAGCAAGTCAAAGGCCTCCAAGGAGTTACGAGTGTCATATACATGTATACATCACCGGCATGGCAAATCTTACTATAATAACAAATAAAGGGCGATAAGAAATGGAAAAAAGGAAAATGATTTGGTTAATAATTTAGTATTTAACTGAATCTTCTAGTGTATTGAGTTGATGATATGTATGCTTTTATTATGATGGGTCATGAGTGTTAATTTAGTATTTGGTTGTGAATATTGGGAGGGTGATGTGGAGATAAGAGTTTATCCAATTCGTTTCCACTTTGGTCCCCGCATCAGATTCATGGAATACGAAAACAGTGACAAGGTCCGACAATTCTATGTGCATATGGCCCTTAAGGGTATGGAAGGGATCCCTGAGTCCTTCTCTTTGACACACTGCTGAGATGTCATGAAAATAACAGTGCTTGCTGTTAATTACTACTCTTTGTGATTTCGTGAATGATCTCAACTTCCCAGTATAAATTCCTTGGTTGGCTGTTCCAACCAATCACTCTTCTTTGTTGCCACCACAAGTTTCCATACTTGGATCTTTAACTAAACATTCATCTTCAATCTATAACTTTTTAATCATGAATTTTTTATTAAAACAAAAACTTAAATATCTCTCAATTTTAACAAACAATAATAATCATTTTGTGCTAAAAATTATTAGATACTTTGACCAAGAGTATAATGTCGTTATATAAATATTTTATAAATTTCAAAATTTGAATTTATGTAAATCATTTGAGGTAATGGTTCTAATAGTTTGGGACTTAATAATCCTAAGGATATTTATTTATTAAGTTAAAAGGATAGTTTGTTATATGTGCATTAAAAGTATAGAAAATGCTTTTTCATTCATCTAAACGTTTTTAATTAATGTTCTTAAGATACTAGTTATCATTTTAACAAATAACAACTTTGTTTTTGATAGTGAATTTTCACTTTTAATTTTGATTGGAAATAATTAACAACAAAAGAACACTTATAGGGTTGCCAACAAGTTTTGTCTTAATAAAATAATACCGGCAAAATTTCTAATTCATTTTTTTCAACATATTATTTTTATTGGAACTTGAAAAATAAAGAAGATATTATGAATGATATAATAAAATAGAAAGGGGAGAAATATCAGTGAAATAAAATAGAAAAAAAAGAAAAAGATTGCTTACAAAATTATAAATATATATAAAGAAGATTCATTAAACAAGGATTAGACGTCAATTTTGAGTGTCCAAACAAGCCCGAAAGTGTTACGTTAAGATTCCTTCGGAATATAATTACGACACTTTTCATAAATGTCATAAGTGACCACTGTTAAAGAATCAAATGTATATAATATCTGATAGAAATACAAAATTAAATGAAGTAAAATAAGGGTTAAAGGGTTTAGTTTTGATTTAAATTTGAAATTTCTTCGTCTTTATTTTCATTCTCATTTTTAAATTTGGAATAAATTGATATATTAAAGACACTTAAGAACATGTTTATTTATGAAAAGGGAATAAAATAAATATCAACATGCATGAATGTACAGTAAGAATTTGGTGGAAAGTATAATTGAAGAGAATATGGTAAAGATGAAATGATCCATCTCCATGTATGTTTGGTTAGGTCAAGATGAGAATAAGTGATCATTCTTACAACGTAAGAATAAACATTCTATCAAGTTACGGAATCTCTATTCTATTTCACTAAAATAAAGGTAAAATTCTTGTCTACTTTTTCACTCCCAACATTATTTTTTTAGTCTAATTGTTTTTCTCTGAGTGAAAACAATCATACTACAAGACATATACCTCAACTTTAAATTTATTACCACAACGTAACACTAAAATTAAGGCTTTGCAATTTAAAATAATCATAAATTAAAATTTTATTTGTATCACTTATTATAGTTTTATGTAATCATAAATAAGATAAGAGTAGATTAATTGAAGTAATAATTTTTGCAATCACAGGTTTTTTTTTTTTTATCAGGGGTTATGATTCCGTTGCTAAATATGCATTTTAATGAACAAGAGTTTGTTTGTTTAAAAGGGGAGAGAATTGATTTTGAACTGTTGAACGTTATTAGAAAATATGCCTAAATTAATGCCAAAGACGTGCATAATGTGCCTTTTTCACTTACAAGTACGAGAATCAATTTTCAAACGTCAAACTAAATTATTTCCTCGTTTCTATTTTATTCTTTTTTTTTTTAGATCACATATATATATATATATATATATATATATATATATAAACTAAAAATTAAGACTATAATTAATATAATTAACCTTTAAAAATAAAAATTAAATAGAAACAAAACTCTTTCAAATTTTGACACTTCAAAAAAATAAAATAATGAAAGAAGTATAATTTTGATTGAAGAAAATTGAGATAAGAATATCAGACCTAGTTAAACTTAAAACAAAATATTTTTTAAAATAAGAATTTTTGAAATAATTTTTTTATTTAAGAAGTGGATAAGATTTGCTTATTAAAAAAACATAAAGCTTCTTATTTTTAAATAAGTAAATTAGATGAATACATGAAACAAAACAAAAAAACTAATATTTGTTTTTTTTTTAATAAACTACAAAAAAATCACCCTTTATAGATCTAATTGAAATATGATTTTGTTTTTAGTTTGTTTAGATTATGATTTGGCATAAGTTTAATCTATCATACAAGCTAATCTTTTATCAGGTTTAAGCTCCATTAAAGAGCTTGAATTGAATCTATAAAGTAATTTTATGTTTAACTTATTCAGTTATGATGTTCTTCTTTCTTATTCATTTATCTTTAACTTTTCCAGGAATTGTTGAAAAATATAAAGTAAAAAGGGTTGTCTCTCTGATGATCCAAAATAATTAATCGAAAATAAAAAACTTAATAACTAAACTAAATTAAATTAAACATAAAAAAATAATTTAAAGTAAAACTTAACTATTATAGAAAAAAATAAAAGTTCAGTGAAATTATAAGTATAAAAAAAAATTTATACTGCAGGTTCTTGAATAAAAATTATAATTGAAATTAAAGTGCAGTGGTCCTTGGCTTCACGTTCAACTAGATGGCAAACGGAACCTGCTTGTGATTATATATTTTCAGTTCTTTGATTTTTTTTAATATATATATATATATATATATATGTATTAAAAATAATTTATTAAAATTAAATAAAATTATAAAAGATTACAATTTTTTCATGTTATATTTATGAAATATACAAAATTAATATTATAAATCATAATAATTTAAATTATTAATTAATACTAATAATTGAGTTTTTTTTAATTACTCAATTGGTTAGTGTTAGAAATCAAATATATTATCATCTAGGCATATAAGAAATATAATATAAAACCAGTGTTATTTAATCATCTAATATATTCACGGTTTTATTGTTGTTTATTTTATGATAGCTTCAAAGTTATTAAACTAGTGCAAGTTTAAAAATTAAGACGAGACATGTCCCACTATCCAATTTTAATAAAGACAAATACTAAACAGTGTCTTAAAAATATATTATTTTTAAAAAGTTAAGAAAAAATAAAACGTGTTGATTTTTGAATACAATTTTTATGTAATTTTTAATAAAAAAAACTGTATTTAGTTTAATAATGAGTATGATTAGGACAAGGTAGTAATGTGCAAGTGCAACAAATAATGATCACAAAGGTCCAACCAAAAGCATGAGGTTGAAGAGATAGATGACATATGCAGATTCACCATTGTCATAGAACCCTAAAGTTTTCACGTGAAGTGAAGACCAACTACTCAGATTCCTCCAACAGAATCCATTGACATGGATTTGCACATTGTATGATTGCCATCAAGTCAAACTTAAAATCTATTCCTTAAAATCTAAGCTATTAAGATATTTTTGCCCTATAACTAAAGCTTTTCACCAACCTGTTTTCAAAAAGACTATTCATCCTTTAAACAAAAATACTGATAGAAGAAAAAAAAAGGTGCAAACCAAGAGGTAACATATAGTTTATTGTTATGTTATTTTTTATAAGAAGTTGTAATCTTGAATGAATAGTTGTGACTATCAACATCTAAAGAAAGATAAATGTAATAATACTGTTGTGAAAATTAATATAAAATTTTAGGAATTTAGAAGCATAGGAGATAGAAAAGAAGAAGAAAGAATCAAAGAATACAGAAAGAGTTGAATAACAAAGAGAATCAAATAATTCTTAATAATATTATACAGTGACATAATCTACTTATAGGTGGAGACATTCAAAGGTAGCATATTGTTAACGTGTTGAAGGTGAAAAATATGTAGTCATTAAGTAGGAAGGTGAAAAAAATAAATAGTAATAAACTTTGAAGAAAACATGGAGACGTGGAGACTTGCCATTAAATATTCATAACATTTTTCTTTAAAAAATTGTGTAGATAAAACCTTAGATATAATAAATCTAATGGGA